TCTTTTTGGATTGATTGATCTTTTTTATGACACAAGGCAATCTTTATCTATCTGAAATTAAAAAAGATATCAATAATTCTACAAACATGTTCAATCTTAGAGTTGAACATTAAAATCTTGTACCACCAAGTTTAATTTTTGTAAATATTTTTAATAAAAACAGGTGAAAATTCACATTTTATAAATAGAAACATATCCTGAAAATTTTGCCTTCATAAGTTGGTTAATGACAATGTTATTGTGAAAACATTGATTTGCATAATAAAATCTGACTGTATATTCTTATAAAATTTTATGTAAAACAACTATAAAATTATCAAATTGTTCGAGGTTTAAAAGGTCACTGTAAGATTTTTAATTTCTTTGATACTTTAACTGTCCTGTTGTATAAAAAAATATATTTTCGGCTATAAGCCAGTTATATTTCTGTAGACCTCTTTTGGCGAATATTGTAAGTTTTTTTTTTTTTTTTTTTTTTTTTTTTTTTTTAAAAGCTCATTGTAAGTAGAAATGAGTAAACGAATTTCAGCTAAGTACATCTACCATCACTTTAATCTTCTCAATTCTTGTATACATGTTTACAGTTGAATGTATTTGTGTTTTTTGTTCAGTTCACAGTTCATCTCCAATACTGCACTCTTTTGTCTTCTTTTGTTTCCTCTTTGAATGTCTTTCCATTCAGATTTCAAGTCTGTATATTTTTATAGTCATGCTTGCTTGAATTTAGTACTCATAACTTTTTTTTTTTTTTTTTTTTTTTTATACCATTACACATGGTGGCCTCAAGAAAATTGATTTCTGTCTTCATTATTGACTGAAGAATTTCATTTAAAAGTTCTAATTCAGCTTATTTAATATATTGATAAGTTTCAAAACTGTGCCCAGTTCTTTTATGAGTATATTGTCAAATGTGACAATGTTTAATTAACATTGCATCAAAAACTTAATTTGTCCTCTGCAGTAATTGAATGAAGTTCATGAAATTTTAACTTGTTAAAATTATAATGAGCACTATAAATTCTCTTGCAGTTTTTTTTTTCTCTGTAAAAAAAAAAAAATTCCCTAAGCATGTAGATAATGAGACTGTAATCATGGTGATTTGAAATTGTTAACCTGCATGGAGCTTTGTGTTCATTTCATTCCTCTTCAAAAATTGTCCAATTATAACTTCTTTCCTGTGTTGTCATCATCATCATGGAGTATATTTCTATTATGTACAGTATTGTCTCTTATCAATATGTAGTTGTTAGTTTGATGTAATGTGCTTCATGTACATTTTAATTGTTTACAAATTCCTTATGATGTTTGTACTTGTGAGTTTGTACAGTTATTAAGAGCTCCATATTTGCTTTTGTATATTTTCTTTATATTCTGGAATACTTTGATAATTTTAAGATACATTTTGGAAAATTTGTGTAGCTATTTTTTTAGATATAGGTGAGATGAATTGTAATATCTCAAATTTAAAAATGTATTTGAAATTAAGTTGCTTGATTTGGAAATCTAGTTTGTTCTTTTTATTTAATTTTTTTATGTATATATAACCTTTTCTCATTGTTATTGATAGATATAAAGTTTCTGTAGCTTTTGCTGTGAGTAACTTGTACCATGCCCAAATCACTTTTTGTGGCTGGAACATCTCTTATTGTTTAATGATGTGTCTAATGTTTTTTTTTTACCATTGCATATTTTTATTTCTTTCATAATTCCTTTTAGAACACGTTAGCTTCTTTATCCATCTTTGGTTTCTAAAACATTTCATTTCTTCATCACCATTTCTTTGTCTTTAAAATATTTTTGTTTCATACTGGCAAAAATATCTGACATGATTGATTTAAAGAAAAAAAAAACTATTTAGATAGCTAAGAAGAGGTTAAAAGGGTTATAACCTTTTTTTTGCTTTGTATTCAGTGTAAAGTTAAAAGGTACTCGTATCTTTCTTGAGAATATTTTATGTAACATTATATTAATGAAGTAGTTTTCTTAAGTACAACAATAAACATAACATAAAATTTCTGTGGTATTAATTTTCAAGTAGTTATGGGGAAATCTGTTCACAAAGGGCTAGATGAGTATAAAACTGGATTATTATTCACCTTATAGAATCACAACTAATTGTAAAAAATGCTTTTTTTTTTTTTCCCAATTATACTTTTTTCCATTATTTTAATTAAAAGAAATCTGTATTTCTCTTGACAAGTTTAATTTTTACAACATAATTTTTATTTTTCTTGTTTCCATTTGAAACAATATAAATCAAAATTTTTTATTAATTTTTTTTTTAATTAATATTCATTTATATAATCAACCAAAAATGCTTGGCTTTCATTTAATTTTAAATTTATTCACTTCTTTTCAGAAGTTTACTGTTTAATGAATGTCTCTTTAAAAAAACTAATAAAAAAAGTAATTTATTAAATAATTTTATAAGTAGTATAAGGGTTAATATAAGCAATTTTTGGTGGTTTGCTTGCTGAGGGTTTAAGGTAATATTTTTCTTATTTAATGCCAAAGTAATTTTCTTCACTGGTAAAGAATTATTGCACTTTTTGCAACTTTATATAGAAAACTAAGATAAACATCACCTAGAATTTAAAAAAAAAAAAAAAAAAAAAAATATTACCTTATTGTAAAGTAACATAATTTGCATCATTAATTACTTTGAAAAATATTGGTTTATTCTTACTAATTATAAAAATTGAATAAAAACAAGAAAAATGTTTTTTTTTTTTTTTTTTTTTTTTTCATGGAGAAGTTGAAGTTTTTACAAAAAAAAAAAATCTATATATATGTTTGTGTGTGTATATTAAAAACACAAAAGACCTACTAAATTTAGGATACAAATAATTTCAAGTAAGTGATGTATATATTTTTTTATATTTGGCATGCTTGTGTGTTGATGCAGAAAGTTCAAATGACTAAATAGTACAATAGGAAAGATTCCAAATTAAAACATATATCTCCTCCCCATTCTTCCTTGTATATTCCTGGTGGCTTTGAATTGCTTTCTCTTGCTTAGCTTCCATATTTGATGTCCTATCTTGTCAAGATTTTACCTGCTTTGGCTTTAACATATTTCTTAAATAGATTGAGTGACTGGAGTTTACAAAATCTGATATTGAAACAAATATTTTAAACATTGGAATAAACTGAGTGTTTGCTTTTTTTTATTTTATTATTTTTTTTGTTCTTATATAAAGTTTATATGAAGTGAGATAGGCTTAAATTTCTGCCTGAGTGAAGTTGAATTGTATTCAGTTGTCTTTTATTCTTCTATAAAGTAGTAGTGATTATGGAGAGCTCTCTGTGCCGCATGTAGCAGTACCTGCTTCTCAAAAGGCTGCTGTTTGTTTTTACGTTTCAGACCAGTTAGTTGAATATCTTGTGTGATTTATCCAAGTATGCCAAGAGTGTGTAAGAACACGGTTTTAAATATGAAAGGGTATTGTTCTAGGAAATTGTACATTTACACTTCTTGAGAATGATTATATTGCATGTAATTTGTTGTAAATTTTTAGTATTAAAAAAATTGGTAGCAACTCTTACTATATAATGATTGCCTTTTGGTTTGTGTGCTGATTCTAGTAAAGAAGTTTGATTTTAAACTTTAAATCTGGATTATTGTCTGCAAAAAAATCAAGCTCAGTTCACGAGAGATGTGGTTATGGGGAGATAACTATGGATGAAGTCACTATGACAACATTGCATTTCAGTTAAATAATAAGTGATACAAATATTATTTCTATAATTTTTTTTTTTTTTTTTTTCTCCAGTGAATTTTAGAAATAAATGATATTTCACAATATCTTTTGAAATTCCATATCGGATAATAGTAGTTAAATTTTTTTTTTAGATAATAATAATCTAACTCCATTAATAATATTTATGATAATAATAAAAAGTAAAACTTTCGTTTCAATGAATACTAATGTATAACTGACAATGGCATAAGCTTGTTTGTAAATGAGTGCTCTCACTTTATAGAAAACCAAAACCACCCTAATATATAACTACATAAAGCAAGCAGCAGCATACAGAAATTTAATAATATATCAGGACTTCTTTTTCTTACTGGTTGGCAAATGAATATTTCAATAACAAAAATATTTAAAGTTTTTGTTTTTTTTTTTCTTTCCTATAAGTAATTCACTAAAAAAGGGGAATACTTTTCAATTTTCTATAGCAAGAATATAAATTTAAGATGAGTTTTGTTAATTGTTGCCTTTCCATATATGTAACCATCTAGATTTAAAGATTGTGTAATTTTATGAGAGCAACTATTGGATATTGATTTCAAGTAAAACCACATACTAGCCAACACAGTTCATTGCTTAAGACAGAACTGAAACATAAATTCTATTAATCATATACACATTTAGTTTTATAGAGAAAAGGAAACAATGATTAACATTTTTGCAGTTGTTAATAGTCAATATACTTATGTATTAGATAAATTACCATTTAAAAACAAACCAAAAATGCTTTAGCAACGATTTAGATGTTAAATAATTTTTAAAACTATTATAATTTCAAATATTTTGATGCCTCACATCTGTAATTCTCTGATGTTATAGAGGAGTAAAAATGATTTTATTGGCTAAATTTGAAATAATCAAACAAAAATCTCAAGAGTTCCCTCCCTCCATTCACTTAGAATGACTTAAGCTTTTAGTTTTAATTTTGCTGTTTCTTATCACCTGTAAAATGCTGGAAAAGTGGAATATATAACAACGCTTATTTTTGCTGTTAAATTATCCAAGCAATGACTTGCTTTGTCTGCATTAGCTTTAACAATAACAATTTTTTCAAAAATCTTTTTTTGCTTTTGTTTTACATTTTATTTTTATTTTTTTTAAAGCCTACTGGATTTATCTATGAACAAAATGAATTCGTTATTTCTTGCAATGCTTTTACAGGTATTTTCCATATTTTGTGTGTATGTGTGTGCTATATGCAAATTTATAATAGACTAATTCTAATTTTTTCCTCTCCCTTTTTAGTCAACTCCTGTAGAACCAGGGCACCCACCGGCTGGAGTACCAGCACCACCCAACAGAGATACTGTACCCACCCGACATACTCCTGTACCAACCAAGGTAACTTCTTTTTAGCTTCTTTTTTTTTTTTTTTTTTTTTAAAATTTCTTTTTGTTTGTTTTTTATTATGGCATAGTAAAACCTGCTCAGTAGTTAACTTCTAAATTGTGCTGCCAATGTGATGCAAGGTCATGCATGTTCTTGACATGTATATTTATATTCCTATTCTATTTTGCTAGACATGTTTAATAGATGTATAAGCATGCAATCAGAATATTACATATAGTACAGAAATGTTATAGAAAAATGTATTTGTATAACTTTATTTAAAGGTTATCAGCAGCCTGTAAATCAGTTGTGGCCTAAGTAATGATAGAACATTTTTAACTTGTGATTTTAACATGAATTTTATAAGAATAAATGTCTCTTGATAATCTTAAGCTAAATCGAGCAAAACAAGCTTTCATGAAAATTTCAAATTACCTTCTAAATCTTGGTCTGAAACATTATCTATCTCATCTGAATAATGCATTCACCCTTTAAAATAGATTGTCATGTATGGCTTTCTAGTTCATCTTTGGAAGCCAAACCCAGATTTTAAAATGTTGATTAAAAACTTAAATTTCAAGGTTAAACGGGGGGTGGGGAGGTCCTTTTTTTTATTTATTTTTGACATTTAAAGAGAAATACTGTATAGCTCTGAGGATGCAGGTGTTAGTAAAAAGTGCAAAGAAAAAAAATAGTTGGTGCAACTTTAATTTTTTATTTTAAAATTTAAACGTCAATTACTTGTTCATTTTGTCTTTTGTTGGATAAATGTTAATTTCTCCAAACCCAGATATTTTTTTTTTTTTGTCTGTCCATCGTAGCAGTAATTATTTAAAGTAAAATATTGACAGTAAATATTTATTTTCTTTCCTTGATATGTTGATTATATAGATTGTAACTTGAAAAAATATGGTTCGATGATTAAATTGGTTTTGAGCATAAGGTAAACTCGTCATTGATGCACCTCAGTTTTTTTTTTTTTTTTTTTTTAAATGTTATGTTTTTGTTGATTTTCATTAATGTTTCCATTAAGTTAAACAGCATGGAATTTGAATCCAAGAATGGTAATAAACAATCTGGCATGGATAAAATCAATTAGGTTAGATAAGAAACTATTAAACTGCCTGACTATGAAGACTTTCCTCATCTGATGGTAAAGGCATTGTTCTTAAAAGATGAGCTCTTGAAGCACAATATGAAAATCCCGTAGAATTTTCGGTATTCTGATTTCATGCTGTTTTTTTTTGTTTTTTTAATAGTTGATGAAAAGCAACACAAAAAATGAAAGAAATTCTAGTAAAACTATTACATCAATGCCTATTAAAATGCTCAGATATAAAGATAGTATACTATCAGTATACTATAACAAACTTTTTTCCAAAAATAATGCAATTTTTGATATTAGACTCTTAATAAGTAATGAGACCTAATAGAATCAAAAAAATTGAACCAAATTTTTAAGATATTTTATGATTTGAGATAGTCTTGAATTAATTTATTAACAAAAATGAACACTGATATTTCCAACAGTTTTTTTAAAAAAAATTTTTATTTGAATTTCCATTTTTGTGGGGAAATTCCTCTTTTATTTGGTAAGTTTTTATTAGAAAAAGAAAAGCATTACAACTGATTAAGGCTAGTCTATTTGATGGTTGTATTTATTGGTTATTTTATCAGTTAAAATGTTCACAGCAATTGTTAATAGAAACACTTCCTTCCCCTGTCCACCCTGTTTTATGTCACTTATTTTTTTTTTTTTTTTTTTTTTTATATATAGATATTATTCTAAAATGCCTATCTACTATGTCCTTTAAATGTTTGATTTTTTTTTGTTTTTAAAAAAATTAAAACTGCCTTTAATTTCATGCAAATTTAATTTTTATAATAATAATAATAGCAGCAGCTGCTTATGTTTTAAACTCTCTAGTCTTTAAAGAAAGCTAATTTGAAGTCAGCATGTTAATATTTTTTTGTTTTCTTATATTGGAGGTTAAGTTTTTAGCTGACATTTTTTTTAAAGCCCCACTTAATTAAATGAAACAGTTTTTGATATGATTGAAAACAATACCTTCATATGAATATGCTTATACATTTCTATACTAATTGATTAACTGTGGATTATTTGGTATTTTAAAAACATTATTTTCTGATCCTTTACTTTCAGTGAATAAAAATTCATTTTTATAGAAAGTCATTTATTCACAAAAATAGTTTTCTAAAAACAATCTAATCGGACAAGTGGGATAATTCTAATTTTTTTAAAAATAACTGTAGTTTACAAGTTGATTTCATTTAATAATAAAAAAAACGACGATTTCATATTTTGTACATGGGAGATAACTCTTGAGTAATTATTTTGATTTTCTGTATGTAGCAGGTGTTTTGAAGATAGGAGTAACATGCTTATCATTAATTATTCTAATATTAAAGCAAATCCTTAAAATAAATTTATACACACAGACTCTGTTGATATTTATTTTTATCATTTTTAACTTACTCGGATGACATCTATTGTCAAAAGTTATTTAAATGAATAGAACACTATTCTGCTGTATAATGTATTATCAGTGTTTAAATGAATTTGACTGTATTGTGTTTTGTTTTCATTTAATGGTGATAATTTACATATAAATTTTAGATAAAATCCTTTATTTTTATTAATATTCTGTTATAGTTATCTATTAAAATGGTAAAATTATTAGATTATTTAAACTTAATTTTTGAGTGATAAAATTTAATTAAAAATGCTCGAATTTTAACTGCATTGAGTTTTGAAAAAGTGTTGTCAACTTTGAAAGATTTTGAAAAAAATTTGTTCTTGTTGAATTTTTCATGAATAATCATGTAGTTATTCCTAAGTCTCATTCTCCATAAAGAGTATGATGCACTTTTAAGTCTTAGGCCGCTGATTGAAGGTAGTACTTAGGTTTACAACCAAGCTGACTTTTTAAAAATTGTTTGATTTGATGTTTTAAATGAATCTTTTGATTTTCTTTTTTTTTTCTTTTTACAGGTGAGTAATTTTATTAAGTAGCCTATTGTAGTTTGTGTCATAATTAAAAGTGGTGTGCTGCCAGTTGATTATTTTCTTCTTTCTCTTAACATTCTGACCTACATGCTTCATTCAGTTATTGTAAAATGGGGATATATTATTTTTGCTTGATGCTATTTGCTGCTTTATTCTGTAGCCAAGGCCATAGTACTGTTATTTTTTTGTTTGTTTGGGGTCTAAACTAATATCACTGCCAAAGGTATTCTTTTTAGCAGTGATTTCCAATGTGCTCTTTCATTTTATATATAGATTCTAATACAAATGTCATCTGTGTTGTTCTTTACTCAAATGAAGCCCTCTACTGTAATTGACATGCTTTTAATAGATTTTTATCTATTGGAAATTAAATTGTCTGTGGTGATAAACATGGTTATTTATTGCTTATATTGTAAAAAAAAAAAAAACATAAAATGTAACTGAATGCTACTACAATCTCACAATCATCTTGACTGCAGCAGCATCCTATTGACATGTTCCGTGACAGATGGAAGTCATCACTAGATATATGATATGAGCAAGCTAAAAACAAAAAAACTGCCAAAACCATTATCAACAAGATATGTGTCTAATGGACAAAAATATTTTTTAATATACTGTAGAGGTGCTTAAAGGATGATTTTAAAATTATTTTATACCCACCTGAAACATTAAAGAATACTAAATAAAAGCAATATTAAAGAGTGCAAATTATTCAGTTAACATTTATTTGAGATGAAACTGTCCGTGTTTTGGTTTCAGAATGAGCTTTTCATTTTGTCTACAAAAGTTCAAAATGTCTTAAATGTACTTTAATAACAGGGGAGGTAATTTGTAGAACAGTTAAATTTCTTTTTTACTTAATGCAAGGATGGAAACTAATTCTAACAATGTATCTTTATCATTTCTTGCAGTTGTTATTAAAAAATAATTTTGCAGAATGAGATTTTTAATTTTTGAATAAACCAACTTGTTTTATAATTAAAAACAAAATATGGTAGATAAAGTGATAATAGTGCTCATACACTTGTATATTTTTTTTCATTTTTACAATCAGTTTTAGAGAGCTATACGATACATGAAAATAAAATTATTTCATAACAATATGCAAATTATATTTGATTAAGCAATTAAATAAGTAATTTGTGATTGAAAATTTGTAATAACTAAAAAAAATTATGTATAGGTCCAAAATGTCTGCAGATACAGTGGGCTTTTCATGTGAAACTAGAATGTTCTTAACAGAATTATGGAATACCTTAGTATAATTGTTATGTCTTGATTGCGCTATAATTTTCATTGACACATTTTATATATGCTTAAAGATTTAAAAAAAAAAAAAAGAAGCTGTGATGAGATATTATTTACATTATTTGGACTATTGTCCTCATCTTTGTCGCCATATTTATTACAACATTTCGGCTGTTGTATGCTTCACCCTTCTTTAGGTGGTTGGAATGTCGAACTGAACCCTTTATTTCGCTCACTGGGGTAGACTGTTCTAGTTCCACGTGCCATGTTTAATGGATGTTCAGTTATCAGTTGTCTCTCTCTGAAAGTTCTCCACTGCCTTAACCACACTCACACGCTTTGGGTCCTGTGACTAGATCTAACCAACACCTTTATCCACTGTGACATGTGTCCTTGAGGACATCTGTGTATGAATTTCTAGGTATTATAAGCTTAATGTCTCAGCAACCATTTTTACAAGTGCTCATATTGCAATTTTTGCTGTTATCATTGCATGTTTTTGCTAGAGCTCATATTGCAACTTTTGTTGTTATTATCGCTTTTCTCTGGCACTCCTTATTACTGGTTCCCATATTGTATTCATTTCTATGCTTGGTTGGCTCAGGAAATTTTTTGAGCACTAGTAAAAATGGTTGCTGAGACATTAGGTTTATAATTCATACACAAATGTCCTTAAGGACTCATGGCACAGTGGATAAAGGACCCAAAGAGTGTGAGTTCAATACCTGGTTAAGGCAGTGGAGAACTTTCAGAGGGAAATTAATAGGAGATAACTGATAACTGACATCCATTAAACATGTGAGTGAAATAAAGGGTTCAGTTCGACATTCCAGCCACCGGAAGAAGGCTGGAGCATACAATGACCGTAATAAATATGGCGACAAAGATGAGGACAATAATCCGAATAATGTAAATAGTGTACATAATACCTCATCTCAGAAATATAGACAGATGTGATGAGATAATTCTTTGTATGGTAGATAAATCCTTTCACCTATTAGATATTTAATTTTTGACTTTAAAAATGAAAAAAAATAATGGTCATATGAAAAACAACTGAATTAAAGGTTCAGATAAGGATTAAACACCTTTTGGGTGTTTTCATCTCTTTATATAAGAGAGTGGGTGGAAACTTGGCTTTTATTAGTTTAACATCAGTGTCCTAGTTTCAGTTCTGTTTCGTATTTTTGTCCTTTGATTGGGAATGGTGTTTTGCTCCACATTTGCAACTTGAAATGCTTTTTTTTTTTTGTTTTTTTTTTTTGTTTACTTCTGTGCTGCATGTGAATTGTCACTTGTGCTTGTTTAGCGCTCTTTGTATCCTGTTTTTTTTTACTCAAGGTAGCAGAAAATTTTTAGTTTTTAGTTAATTCTTTCTCTTGTGCACAGTATATTTACAGTTTCTCTCTTTTTTATATTAGCTATTTATGTACATTTTTTTAAAAAGTATTCTATGTCCTTGTTGAAGGGAAACATGAAGATGAAGAACAAAAAAAAAAAAAAATTTGCCGTTTTCCTAGTTTCTCATTTAAATGTCACCATGTATTACTGGCATTTTGTTTTTTTCATTTGGTCTACTTTTGGATAACTTCTATACTTAGGAAAATTGAATTCATTTAGTTTGCTTTCTATTAAATTTCTTGATTGTTTTATACTTTGTATTCTTTTGAAATACTTTTATCTTTTATTTACTGTTTATTCAAGGACAATTTTGTACAAGTAAAATTTGATATTAAGAAACTTAGGAATTAACTCAATCTTATAACTTTTTTAAATTGGTATATTCCACAAATCTTGCATACAGCATGTTTTATACGAGTAACACTCACCATTCAATTAAAGATCTTGGAATGTGATGATGAAATTTTTTTCAATGCAAACAACATTTTGGGAAAGTTTCTCTTGAGTACTTGAGTACAAATATTGTAGATTTAAAGCTATTTCATAGTCTTTTTTTTAAATTTTTTTCAGAGATTTTTTTTTAACTCTAAACATTTTCTATGATATATAAAAGATCATTGTATGGTTCTACTAAGTGGCATTAATTAGGTTGCATTTTACTTTCATCAGTCTTAAAAAAAAGTCTTTGTAGCTTATATGATGTAATAAAGTCAAAATTACTCCATTACCAAGTTGATTGTCAGGTTAACTATATGGTCTTTGTAGCATTTCTCAAGTGGATGAAGTACTTCAGTAACCATCTCCTTTCCAAGTTGTGATGAATGATACCAGGTTATATGGTAACAGCAACAATGAGGAATACCTGACACAATTTCATGTGACAGGTGGATTTATATCTCAATTTCCTCAGCTTAAAGTTCTGTCTCAACTGATTCCACCTCCTATGCTATTAAATTAGACCAACTCTTATTAGATTGTTTTACATTCTTTTTTTACTAAATAGGTTTTAATCAGCTTATTCATTAAAAAATAAAAATTTAAAAACTTTCTCAGTAACACTGCTACTACTTTTCTACATATGACAATCTTTGAAATGACATTTGTGAAAAGAGTTTAGGAAAATATGACTTGTATATCTGGAATTAATTCAAACTTACAGCACATGTATAAATTTTTTTTTGTATAAAGTACAACTTGATTTTTTGATTTTCAACTTTTTTGTTCTGTAATAGAAACTTGGGTAATTTTCTACACTATGCAAAAAACCACTTGATCAGGTGTATTCTCTTAAAGTCTACAACTGTCTTCAGGTGCAAAACAACTTAATTTCTGAATATTTATACCTATTTTTCTTTTACTTGGATTGGAAAGAAGTCCTCTGACCAATTCCAATCAGAACAAACTGCTTTCTAATGAAAATATTGTAAAATACCCTTGAGTTAGGGTAAAACAAAAAAAATTGACTTGGTGTGGGGGCTTTGGGTTTGGCTGGTGATAATTATTGTACATTTTATACAATTTTCTAAAATCTAAAACTTTGACTTTATAAACTCAACTATAAAGTAATAATGTCTGTGTGTATGTATGTATATATATATATATATATATATATATATATATATATATATATATACACATACATACACACACACTTCTTACTTTTTGGAAATGTTGGTAATATCAGATTGTTATTAGAGATTTATTCTTTTCTATTATGAAGAAGGATCAATAAATCTCAAGCCCAGGACAGTTAAGTTGAATTTTGATCTAGAATTTTTTTTACTCGGTAATGTTTGAACGATGGTCATTTATAATGAAGTGTTGACAAGAAAGGGGATTATTGGAGGCGGGGGGTCTATTGTTGCATAAAATAATTTCTTTTTCATCACTAGGCTCAGGTCTTAACAATAAACATGTTTTCATATCTTCAATAAATTGTCTCTTCAACTTTATATATTGTAAAAACAAAACTCCTGTTGTAATCTAAGAAAATTGAGGTAATTAAAAATCAGTTTGTTTAGATGGTTCATCTCTTAATAGTCAACAATTCAGTTTCATTTCATTGTTAACACCATAAATAATCTGTTGCAAAAGGTTTTCTTATTTTCTACTTGAAATTTTTCTTGTTATAATTAACTATTAATGCTTTTGGGATTTTTTGGCCTTATATATATATATATATATATATATATATATATATATATATATATATATATATATAGTTTTAATATATTGATAAATTTATCAAATAGTCAGTATCAGTTAATGAAAGGAGTTATAATTGCATGCATTATTGCTACCTACTCTGTTGTAATTTTTACTAAGCACATACACATTTCAGTTTTCCTGAGTTTTGCTTTTCACTCTTGCACTGATCATATTCACTGCTTTACTGCACACGCCCAAACTAAGTTAACAGGAACATATTGGTAAACCTTAATTTCACCTTTCAAAATTATCTTCTTGGCTTTGTGACTTCATTATCTTGGAAAACAATGATTTACAAAAATATTGGATGTAAGAAAGTCTCTTATAGTAGAAATTATGAAGTAGACCTTGTTTTGCACAGATGTAGGCCTTGTTAGATGTTGTTATTCAAGGTTAGAAATAAGTATTATTAATAAGATGTATATTTATCTGTATTTATTTTTGTTTATTTAACCTTTAAATAATAGAATGACTTTTTAAAATGTTAATGTTCTTGCAAATGGGAATGGGAAACTGCATAAACTGCCTGTAAAATTGATGACTGTTATCATCATTTTATTTTAATTAAAATGTTTTTTTTATTTGTACTTTGAGATTTACTCAGAATATCATCATTTTAATATTGTTTAGAAGCGTAGGCAATTTTTTTTCTTCTAATATCTTGAAAAGTCCTTCTTTTTATCCCTCTCCTTTTTTTTACACACCATTTTAATTGGTTTAAAGTTTATTAAATATTTTTCTTCCTTTTCTTTCCTTTTTTTCCTTTTCTTCCTTTTTTTCCTTTTCTTTCCTTTTTTTTTCTCTCCTCTTTCCTTTTTTTTTCTCTCCTCTTTCCTTTTTTTCTCTCCTCTTTCCTTTTTTTTCTCTCCTCTTTCCTTTTTTCCCTTTTCTTTTGTTTGTTTTCCCCCCTTCGTCCCCCCTTTGTTTTTTTCCTATCTCTATTAAAACATTGTTTTTAATTTTTATTCATTTTTTTCTATTAAAAATAATTAAAAATTACTTTGTTTAATATAATCTTTTAAGTTTTTTTTTTTTTTTTTTTTTTTTTTTTAAGTGTTCAGGTTGAGATATAAATTCTGACGTATTTGAAATTATACATTGATAACTTCTACTTTGTAAATAAAATTTTTCAGATCCTAGATCCACATTAGCATTTGTGATCTACCAAACAACTTTGGAGAGGTTATTAAAAGAAAATTATTGCAAACTCTATATGTAGGTTAATGACATGTACAAATAAGATAGACCAGAAAAACTATGGTGTAATTCATTTTCTAAGAATACTTTTGGACACTGCTTCTTTATTTTTGAGCTGTTCAAATTGAAATTTTGATGCTGAACCTTCTACTCACAATATTGGCACATTAGATTAATGTTTTGACTTGAAAAAAAAAAAAAAAAAAGTTTTGTGGGCTGTAAAAATTGGATCGCTTTGGTTTCTATAAACAAATTGGATAATGCAGTTATTCTTAGGAGTACTGGGTTTTTGGTCTTCTTTCACAAAAATTGAATGTTTAAAGCAGGAGACATTTATAAAATTATATTCTAAGTAATGCATCAATAATTAGGTGTTGATAAGTCCAAAGTTTGGTTAAAATTTTATTTATTAATAACAGAAACTTTACTGAAGTCTATTTTAGATTGATTATTTTTTATCTTCACTTGAAGATTTCAGTCATATATACTGTATTTCCTATCAAATAAAACACATTTCCCCCTCTGGAAAAAGACCTCCACGCATGGATGTGTTTAGGTAGGCATTGTGGTATAGAAACTAAACAACTCTGTTGACATGCTAGTCACATGTATCATATATATATATATATATATATATATATATATATATATATATATATATATATATATATATATATAATAGATAAAATTATATTGTTTATGAAACCAAATACATTTATTTAGCAATGAAAAGTTGCATCAATAATGTGGCTATATATGTTTAGATTAAACATTTTCATGTAAAAATGTTTTATGCTTGTTAATGGCTGATTAAATAATCTCTTCATTCAGAGGATCACTTTTATTTGGGACTGATAACCATCTGAATCTAATTTATATAGAATATCCTCAAGTGCATCTAACAATATATAATTAACTGAACATTGAAAACTCTTTAAAAAAAAAAAAATCATTTTGCTTGTTTTAAAGAATGACATTTGTAACAATTATTTTAGCCTATTTTAACACATCATATATATCTCCAATGATTGTATTGTCCCCTCACTATCTTTTGGTGCTATTTTCTATACATAAATTTAATTTGTAGCATTTCTCTTTTCATTTTTTTTCTTAATTTTTAGCATAATTCTCTTTTTTTTTTTTTTTTTCAATCACCATGGCCTGTGCACTTTGTTGATATGATAAATTGGAAATGTTTGCTTGCGCTTTTGGCTGGACCATTTCTTTACTCTGCAATGTTTTTCCCCCTACCCTTTCCTTCTACCCCACCTGTACTTTTGTTTTTGGGTACAGCCTGCTTCTTATATACCTTTCAATATTTTTCCAGTATTATTTTACCACTATTTCTCTAAATCTTATTCTTTTTGTGTTTTTGCTGAAGCAATATCCAAATGGTTGCCTGCTGCCTGGCCGGCTGCCTGTTCTTTTTGTATTTCTGTTGTATTAAGCTCTGCTTTAAGCTGTTTGATTTTGTTGTAGTTATTTTTAATTCTCTTTTTTTTTCTTTTTCTTTTATAAACTTGGTTTACCATGAATGTTTTGTCGATTATTTATCCTTCTGACTCCTAAAAAAAAAAAAAAAAAAAAAAAAATACATTAAAAAAACAAACATTATTTACAGGGTTTTGCATTTTCTATTTTCTCCCCCAATGACTTGAAAACTGTCAAGAACTAAATAATCTTATCAGTTTTATTCTTTATTAGATTGTAGAATTCATTGCATGGCTTTTCCAACAAGCTTCTCAGAAATACTTTCATTTGGATTGTTCCCAGCCTCCTTGTAAAATAAATCTGAAAAATAGCTACCTATTTTTAAACTCAAGTCTCATACAGACACAAACTAAAATTAAATTTTGGTTCTGTAAGAATTCAAATGGGATACCCCATCCACACCAACTCGTAGAATTAGATTTAGATGTGCAATTGATTTTTATTTATTTATCAGTTTTATATATTTTATTTACTTATTTATTTATTTATTCATTTATTTATTTTTTTTAAAGATTTTATCTAAGCCAGCAGAAATAATTTTATCTAAAATTTTCTCCAAGTTCACTATTAAATGAAAGCTACAAAGAAAATCTCTTTTCTCTCTATTGAAAAATGAAAAAAATTCTAATTAAAATGTTGATATACAGCTTTGTTGTTTGGCAGGGGGGAGATGGCTCCCTTGAAGCTATAGATTAGAGTATATCTATTTCCTCTGCAGGTTTAAGAATGGAAAAGCACATTTTCTTGTCATCATGACAAGAAAAGAATGAAATAGAATGATCAGAATTTTCAATTAATAATTTAAATGTTTTACAGATGATGATACAGTAGGACTAGCCTCTATTTTCAGGAATTTGTGAAATATGAGGCTGGATCAGTAATCTCATAGCATAGTTTTGATCTGAAATTTTCATTATATAAGGTTCAACTCTTGTGATTAATATTTGCCACTGAATTAAGTGCAATGACCAGAAAAATATTAATAAAAATTAATTTTTTCAATTTTTTTTTTTTGTTGTAGACAACCTTTCAGTTAATTCATTCTTCAACCCTTGCCGGGTGTATAATCTGTGAGCCAAAGAGGAAACATGTTGCCAACTTTTGAGTAAGCCAAGGTGGAACTCAATTGGAGACTGTTAGCAATATGAAAATATAACAAAGAATTAACAAGGAATTCTATTGAAATAATCTTGTATACAAGACAATCTTAAGAGAGATAAAACAAAAGGTTTTCTAATGAATGTTGTTAGGTATTTTATTTTCAAGCATGTATCTTTTTATGGCATTTTTTTTTTGTATCTACTTTTAAAGAACTTTCATAAAAATCATTTTTTGCCTTAGTATCTTTGATTAGAAAGAAAGAAAAAACTAGAACAAAACTGTATTTACAAAGTAAAAAGTAGTCAGCATGAGTTTGACTTGCAAATATGAATTCACAAGGCAAAATTTTCATCAACTGGCAATGTTTTTCTTTTAATAATAATAGTTTACATAGCATAGCAAAGTTATTTTGCTGTGGAAATTCATTAGCATTCATTTTTAAAATAATAAAAATTTAAGCCTCCTTGATGCGCTTACTAAAAATCTTAGGAAAAAAAAATGTATTTAAAAAAATATATATTTTAAGTCCTTCTTGGTAGGGTGAGAAATTTTCAGCACTTCTTCATAATATTTTTTGAGGACTTGGAAAAAATTATGCTAAGTTTTTTTTGTTTTTTTTTTTCTATAAATTAACAGAAGTGACAAATGACCAATTTTGATAGTGTAATTCTTTACAAAAGAAAAATTGCTTTTATCTATATAATTTACACACAATATAAACAATGTAATTTCAATTAAATGCAGGTAATCTTTATTTTTTTTATTTAAATACAGTGTTCAATATCTTGTAAATAGAACCACATATAGTGTAAATGTTACATTATTTTGAATCTTATTAAAAATATGACATGCATAACTAGAAGGTGATAGAACTGAGCATCAATACTTAAAATTAAGCCAATTTTACTTTTTAACTTGTATTTGTACTTGTGAGCAATGACTACTGCTATAGTAGGGATCACTGTGAAACATGTCATGTTTTATATAGTTTTCCATGAAGCATAACATTTACACACGCGCACACACACACACACACACACACACACACACACATAAAAATTCAGATATAAATAAAATGTATTTGTAAAGATGATAAATAAAAAAAAAAACAAGAGGCAAACTTTTTTATTTTAGAATGTTCAAAAATTTGAAAACTTAACATTATTTTATTTCTCTATGCATTACTTTTTTGTATAAATACAGGTTCTTAAATGAGATTTTTACACTAGACTTAATAAAGTTCCTCAAGGAGAGAACGTTTCCTTCCTTGAGGAACTTTATTAAGTCTAGCATAGAAATCTCATTTAAGAACTTGTACACAGAAGTAATGCAGGGAGAAATCAAGTTTTGTTGGCATAAAGTTTTCCTCCTGCCTTTTTCTATTATATATTTGGGATCAAATATATGATTAAGAAAATGGAAAATATTTTAATGCTGACTAAACTTATTAATGATAATCTTTGATATAGTCATTGTATATATTAGCTGTCTGTTCCTTAAAACCGTTTTACAGGCTCTTCGTGTCTAAGACTATGTTTTAATAGATAGTTGGCTTTGTAAACGTAAAAAGACACAATGGACAAGTAACTCTCTATTACTAAAACTTGACCGCGTGATAATTACTGGAGGAATGTGGAGACTAATATGATTGGTGGTGGTGGTGGGGGGGAACTTTGAATTATTTTTATTTTATTTTATTTTTTATTTTTACATGTATTTCTGCTACCATAGGGTAAGTGAATAAAATAATTAGTTATTTTTTTTTTTTCTCTCCTTCCCCCACAAGATTTGCTTCATGTGTTCCAAGCAAACTGTCCCAGCAGTCAGTACTCCAGTCAGCGTTTGCCATAATGTCTCTGTGTAATGTGTTGAATGTATAAATGATTGTTTATAGAACACGAATTCCCTTGCACTTTTATAAGGATATATTTTAATATTTAACTAAAGTATTTCTTAATTGTATATAACATCTACTACCAAAGACTGGGAAGACCTAGGAGATTATTTGGAACAAATAAGAAGAGGAGGCTTACCTATATTTTTGTGTCCATGAGTTTGGATTGATTTCTAGCATTCTTTCTAAATTCAAGAATTTTTTTCTTTTTCAAAATTATCAAATGAAAGTTTATTTTCTGTAGCATGATAACAATTTCACA